GACTGYGGTTGTTGAACAATTTGTAGCTGTGGCAGAGGAGCAGCTGTGTGCTGGAGCAGGGCTGCCTGTGCCCAGGGATGGCTGCTGTRGTCAGGAACCTTCACTCCCACCCAGCTTTGCCCAGGCTGCAGCTCCATCTGCCCCCTCTCTCTGTCCCCAGCCCCACTATACAAAACCTTYTCAGACCCTTATGGAAGTCAGACCTGACAGCATTACCCAGCTAATCCTTCAGAGAAACGGATTATAAAGGAGCTGCTGACAACACTCAGATCCAGAATGAAACATTCTAAAATATAAAGAAGTCACAAAAAGCCCTCAGGCATTTACTGTGCTCTCTGAAACTGTCAAGATAGGTGGAGCCAAGAAAAAGAGAGCAGAGTTCTTACAAATAGGACTGGACTTTCTATTAAGGAAAACAAGGGAAAAAAAGGTTGAGTGAACCAGATCAAAGCACTCTGATATTGCAGCCACTGCTCTCAGTCCCTTCAAGGAATGCTTTGGCTAGAACAGTCCACAGAAATGATCCATCCCTGCCCTCCAACATAAACTCTACAACCTGCAGAAAGTCAGCACCAAAGCAATACCCTTTAAGGTTTCAGTCTTATGGGTTTAAATTGAGGTAAATTCAGTTATTTATAGACCACTTCTTCTGATTTGAAGTTGTTGGAAGGGAAAAGAGAAAGGAGATCTAGTTGCTCCTTTACCACTTAATGTCCTTCTTCAGCCACAGTGCGTAAAAATTTTAAAAACCTTTTACTGTACCAAAGAAGTTACATGTAAGTGGACAGTTCACTGCTGTATTCCATGATACCAGCATAAAGTATAATTATTTTGAAAGGAAAACTTCTTTACAGGACTCCTCTAACTAGACTGCCCTTTCTTGCATCTCTGTCACATTAAACTTACTTCACTCTCCTCCAGCAGAGCACGTCTCTCTATTTCTGCATTGTCATTCCCAGGGCAGACACCTGTACTGCTGCAGAAGGAGGTTTTTGTCTCCAGAAGCACAAATGGACTACTTTGCTTCCCCAGGGTGACAATTGTCTCTTTACTTTCTTTCTCCTCCAGATTGTTAATACTCTCTAATATGTGTATTGTTCAAACACCAGCAGCAAAGAAAACAACTCAACCAGATGCAAAGCCCGAGACAAAACACTGAAGATACAGAGAACAGCTCCTCTAAGGCTGACATAGGAAACTGGAAACTATTTCAAACAAATTTACTTTTATTCTCTTTAACATGGGCAGTTAMCTAGTTAAATGCAAATCCAGGTCTGAACTTCATGAGACAAGACCCCTGGGAAAGCAGAGACAATTTCTGCCATGGGTCACAAATATAACTCCCAGACTTGTGCTGAGAAGAAAGGTTATTAACTGCACTCTGATAAACAGGTTCAAACAAGGGAAAAGCAGATGGACTGGTAACAGGAATGGGAATCTAAGAGGAAAAAAAGGCAGCTAGCTTCCACGAAATCTTACACTATTTCTTCCTTATAGACATTCCCCGGCTCTTTCTACACAGATGAAATCTAACCATGGAAAACAGGATCCTTGGAACTTGAGAAGAAATAAATTATTTGGGAAGGGGTGGGAAAGGAAGAGGGAAAAAAATCCTTACCAACTGACTGGTCTTACTGTGCACTTTTCCAGGAGATGGAGAATTGCTTCTGATGCAGCAGCATTCAGTCCTCGAGAAGTCAGACAGAGCAAAAAGGCAGGGGAGGTACGAGGAAAGAAGGGAGGGGAGAGGAAGAGAAGGGAGGGGAGATGAGGAAAGGGGTGGGGAGACGAGGAAAGGGGTGGGGACATGAGGAAAGGGGTGGGGAGATCATGTACACACTGCATGTCTGTTTGCTGAGCCCTTACATTGCTTTTGGGAAAGAACAAAGCTACTTGTAAATCAGGCTGTGTGTTGTTTTGCGATGGCTCAAGGTGAAAAAGGAAGAAGGTCTTAGTAGAACCAGTTGACCCATCAGTCAGGAGGAAGAAATTAGTGTTCCTACACGTGTCTGTTTAGAGAACCTGAATGCCCAGCACACTTTTTATTCCAAAAGAGAGATTGTACAGTCAAACAGGTAAATGCAAGAGCTGCAGCCAAATCTGTCAGCAATTAGTGAAAGAGGGAGTGTAAAAATATGCCAGCCGTTCCCTCACCAACCAACCCACCAGTATATCCCAGTCTCATACTGCCATCAAAAGTTAGCTGTGCTACAGTTTTAGTGCCTGAAGGTATATGGGAGGGGAATATTCATTGTTTCAACACACCATCTCATCACCACATCTCTGTGGGACTGGTATGAAAAAAACTAAAAGCAACTTCTCATCCTCCAGTATATCAAGTTTCTCATTTCCTACAAGCCATGCYAATTTCTTGAAATCTGCTGCATAGCTCCCCAATTTGTAAAACTTTATTCCCTTGAGCTGGAAATTTTGCTTCTAGTTAGCTGTGCACCATCCTCAATCAGACGCTTTCCTGGACCCACAAGCCTCCTAAGCTCAGAGAGAACCTYGAGTCTTGCACACATGCAGAACCCTGGGAGCTCTTCCAGCTGCATCATAGCTGCACAGAATGATGCAGCAAATGGATGACACAGCTCTGTACAATTCTGACTCCACAGATCTGCAGTGGGGCATAGGAAAGACTCAGCTCACCCCTTATTTTGACTGGCTACTCCCCTTCTAGCAAAGGTTGACTTCAATCCAAAAAGTGAGGAAGATTCCAAATTACACAGTGCCAAGGGATGAGACAGCACCAGAGACATTACAAAGCTTTTCAGGTCTACCCCTGAAAAGCTGAGTACCATTAAGCTTTCCTCTGCTCCAGATCCACAAAAAACCCAGACAGGCTATTCTGGCATCTTCTCACTTTTAAGCAAGATCTTAGCAGCTGCAGGAAAGACCYGTTTTCACACCGCCCCAGAATAATATAAAAATTGAACCTCTTAATGCCACAGCAACGTGAATCATTGGAGACTCCCAGGTTTATACATTGCCCTTATGGCTTGAGCAAATTATTTCTGATAACTTGATCCAGCACACAGAGCCCCTGTGGCAGATGCTTATCYTAAAAAATGCAAACACTCCAACACTTCCGTGTGGCTACCAGCCTGCCAGGCTCTTCCCAGCCCTTCTCAGAACACAACCTCTCCCATCCTGGCCCCACGCCCTGCTCCCAGCACTGCCATCCCACAGCATCATCCCACAGGCTYGGAACAAACTGAGAAACATACCACTGGGTAAAAATGAACCTTTTGCTTACAGGGAAGAAAAAATACAATAAAACTATAAATTGCCCTTCCTCCACAAAAAGTCACATGCTCAGTGGGACCCCAAGCCCATCCTCAGAGCAACTCACAAAGGTTAGTACAGCTACATTAATTCATCTGGAAAGGATTTTCATCACCTTGTCTCYTTCCTCACCTCTTGTGCTGTTGCAAAAATAGCTCTGGCTTGTTTGCTGCACCGCTTGTGTCAGTCTGATTTTATGCCTGGCTAGATGTACACAGACAAGCTCAGAGCCTGCTGGACACCACTGCCTGGATCTGTACATCCATGCACAGTCACCCAAACTTGGAGGCCATGCTGGAAAGTTGCCTGTTTGCAGAAGCTTTGCGTTCTATGAAGTGTGTTTACAGCAGACCTCAAAAAGGGGCTGGAAAGAGCACAGCTCTTTTGAAGGTCAAAAAAGAAGGCAGAAAAGCAAAAAAGTACCAACATTGATCTGTCTAAATGCTGCAAGTAAGGGCCTGTCCTGGGATGAAAATACTTTGAGATATGAGTGCATTTATCAGATGACCTAAAGTCATTTGGTGGTGTGCTGTTAGAGCTTCTGTCCATTAAAGACAAACAATCCCTCCTGCAGGCCTTGACAACTATTCTCACAATTGCTGGGAAGGGAACAGATAAAGAAGGTGCAGATGTGCAGAAATTCTGGAACAAGCTACTCTTAAAAAAAAACCCTCAGGTAAACTCTTGAAATACGAGAAGCTTCTGAATGGGATTTTTCCTACAAGCACTTTTTCTTTTATCATTGCGTTTTCCTGAAAAGCTTTTCTTTTTAGAATAAATCAGCTTGCTGGAGCCATTTCACAAATCCCAGATTAATTCCATTCAAATCTGGCATCTTTCCCAAACCAAGTAATCATAGGCTCAGCCTTCAAGACCCAGCTCATCAGCTGTGAGCTGCTTTTTTGMAACATTTCTAAATGAAACTTTCTCAGCATGCCATGACTCAGGAACACTGGTTACCATGAATTAAAGATTTTCTACAAGGAAAAATGAAGCACAAAGAAATACTGATTGCTCATTCTGTGCATGTTCCTATACAGCTATAAAGTCTAATATGCATTAGCTATCTTATCACTTATTATAAAAATTAATTAGTACCTATTGACATTTCTGTATTAAGTGCTCCCCAATTACTTATCTGCAAAGGAACTTCTGAAATTTAAGAGGAGGAAAAAACCCTTTTCCAGCAGTCACCAGAGGATGAAGATGCCATTAAGAAGAGGAGCCTCTTGGGCACAGTACCTCTTGTTATGGGTGTCTGCTTCCAAATTTGGTGCTCCATGTATATTAACAGGGAAGCACAAAGCTCGCCATACTGCAACAAATTAGCACCTTAACACATACTGTATGAAAATTGTTACCTGACACCTAAAGACCTCTTCAATTTCAACAGCAATCCAACAAATCAGACATGCAAAGAACTGGAACAGACGGCCTGGGGAAATTGTGGAGTCCAATCACACAGGTCTTTAATATCAACATCAGAAATGAATGGGTGAAAGTCAGTTCTGCCTYGGGTCAGAGAAGAAGAAAAGATGACTGCCCAAGATCCCTTTCTGGTCCTGACMTCCTGATGTATTTTTTCTTTTTCTGAATTATTCTTTCTTGTGTCTGCTTACTTCAAGCAATCCCTCTTAGCTTTCACTCCTACTAGTATCACACTTAGAAATAAGGTTTCAATAAAGTATGGAAGTTGAACACAGTCTTCTTACCCATCCTCCTTGYTGAATGATATAATCTGCAGAGTAATCTTCTAGATATGTCACCCCGAAGTTCACAAGGGCACTCAGTGGTTCCTGGCCCCGTCTGGTCAACTCCATCAGAAATTGTTGTAACAGAACCAGGGGCACCAAAACCTTCAAAAAACAAGAGTTTTGAATAAATACAGAAAGCATTACCAATAATATTATGCARCTAGAATAGAATTCATGTGCCCACAGAAAAGGTCTGAATCTTCAAGTCCAAATATACCAGGGACTATACACTTCATTTCTGAGAACACAGAAGGCAGACACACAATAGAATGCACTAAAAAAGAAGCACTTCATCTGCTAAGCAAAAACCCACAGCCTAATTAAAAAATTTCACAGAATGCAACTGCAATGTTTTCTTAAGCCTCATTTTTTTCCCAATACAGGATTCAGGTAGAGAAGCTGAACACGTCCAGAACTTGCTACCCCAGAAATGGAAAGATGCAATATCATAAATAGCTTGAAGGGATATGCATCTAAATGCAAACAGCAAACTCACACACATTCTTGAACAGGAACATCTCACTAGACAGTCTCTTTAGAAGTTGGCTTTGAGACAGGACAGAAACAAACACCTCCACCCAACAGCAGAACATTACAAACATGTTTTAAATGGGAAACACAAAGCTCTTTCYATGTCAAACTCTCCCTTTGATGCCAAATTTAACACATAGAGATTTCCCTCCCTCATTTCCTACTCCCATTCCTCTTTAGAAACCTTTTAAGTGAATGCTCAGCCTTAATCTAAATTGCTCTGGAAGATGCAAGACTCTGAATCCACCTCCTTCACATTATACAGTTCAAGACACTTCCTTCTGAAATTATGTTTTTGTTTGCCTAAACAACATGAAGTTGAACTTTTAAACTCTAAATTTATTYTCCTAGAGCACACGAGTGGCCCTCTGGGCAATGTTTATATGCAGCACTTTGCCAAGGTCAGGAAACTGGYATAAACTGAAATCATTAGCATCTGAAAAAGCATTATGACACAAGAGAAAAATATTTGTTTTACTGCATTTTAATTGAGACAACTACACTGCACATCKATTCACTGTGCAGACTGAAATGCTGTTTCCCAAGTGAACAAGGGAGATGAAGGCTCTACTACTGCTCATACTAAACTCCTAATGCCTCCTTCGTTTTCCACTCTCTTCCCCCTTCAGTCTGGTTTTCTTTTCTGCAAATATCCTGCATTACTATTCCCAGAAATCACACCTTACGATGCAAAGCTGGAGGAATATGAATAAAAAAACTAAGCTGAAATTGAGATTTGTACTAAAGACATGGTGGGATCACTCTGAGTTGGACTACTAAAACCAGACTGGGCCTAAAAATTGCCCATAATCTGATMAATTTAAGATGCTCCAGCTGATTAACAAAGGAGTCCAATACTGTGGCAGACAGGTTACAGAACTGTTGTTCTGCGATGAACAGTTAACACTGGTAACTGTTAACACTTCACTAGGAATGTCATAGGTGCCAGAATTTTAAAAGTGTTTGAATTTCAAAAGCGTTGGGGTTTTTTTGAGTTTCTTGCAATTACTCTCAACTCAGAGGCAGAAATGTGCAAGCTCACAGTGCACAGACATAAGGAGCAGGTCAAGGTCAAGTGTCAAGGAAACTTCAATCTTTTTGGATCAAAAAAAAAGCAAGCTGTCAAGACTAGGCATCTTTCAGGGGCTTTGGGCACACCCACATAACTCTACAGCAGCATAAACACTGAGATCTCAAAATATTTGACATTTACTGTAAGCTGAAGGCAAGAGAAACAAAGGCAAGAAAAGGCGGCTTGGGAAATGAAGGGAGCTCAAACGCTGGCATACTAAATGTGATTGTTGCCTTCTTCCTTTGCCAAATGAATACCTAATCCATCCRTTCCTCCCAAATTGAGCAAGCCCCTTCAGGCCTCAGGAGCAAGGGACCAAACTCAAACTCTTTAACATCCAGTCCCACACAGACCAACAAACACCACCCAGTCTTCCTTTCCGACTAAAATTACTGACACTTCAGCCTCTGAGACCAGGAGAACAGGAGCAGATTTGCATGAGACTGTCCCTAAATGCATGAAAGAAATTACCTTTGCAATATTTCCATAAAAGTTAACAACACATTTCTGTACAGAAGAGAAGCTGTGTGAATGGTGATGAGATTTAACAAGAACAGAGTAAAAATACAGCCTTTGCAATTCAAAGCAACTGCAACTCCCTCCACCAGGATGCCTGGGAAGGAATGCTAAGGGCTATTTATATTTTGACTGAATAAAAGCATACACAGAAAACAGTTGGCAGGAAAAAACTCCTAGGGAATCATTATAAAACCCACTTTACTATCAGAAGATAGCTGATTGTGTAAATGAAAGACTTGCGTCAACTACACTATTGCAATCCCATTGTAAAACATTGCAAATTTAAATACACTCAAAAAATATTACAAAGAAAGTTCAGAGACTTTGAGGAAGCTATATTCAAAATCATTGCAGTTCTGTAACTGTAATTTGACTATTTCAACTTAAAATTAATCTAATTCTTCATATAGTTATTTCTTACATTTTAATGGCCCCATTAATCAGTAAGAATGGKATACTAAGATGACTGCTAACCTACTCACCAGTTCAGCTTGCTCTTGATAACAGTATTTGTTACCCTTTCAGCTGTTGCATAATAGTGGGATTAAGTATTTTGGAGCATGTGTGTAATATTCAGTTTTACACAAAAAGCATAAAAATTCAGCAGTGGGGTATTTAAATGTTTTTATTATTTTATTACAGAAATTTAATTTGCCCCTTTTTAGGTGGTTTTGGATTTGTCTTATTTTAATGAAAGCCTTATTTCAAATAGAAGATAAAGACCCTTTTCCTTTATAGAATTCAACATCAAYGTTTTCTAACAGCTTCTTTAGAGTGAAAATTAAGCTGGGCTAAGATGGAAGATGTCTAGATCTCTTCTGTTATAAAACACAAATCTGATTAAGATGATAAAGGAAATTAAAAGGAAATGAAACCAACACAAATGTATTCCATCTTCTCAAAACAAGTATTATTGAAGGAACTGCTGGGCATTCCTGGCGCACCAAGCTACCACAAAAACAATACAAACAGATGCTGTGCTTGTCTACAAAATTTCCATTCTGATTTGCTTTTGGACTGTAAGTTTTGTAGCAACAAATGTTACAGGCAAACAGCTGATGGGCACTGAAATCCATGAGCCCCAGGGACTGCAGGAATGTCGCAGCAATGAAAGCTGAATCATAAACCCCAAAATGCAGCCATATGCCCAGGACTGCATCTTCAGGACATGGGGACCCAAAGCATGTTGACCTGAGAAGCCCCAACCACCTCCTCCCTTGCCAGATGAGCCACAATGACTGGTTTTATGCTTGGTTTTAGCTTTCACCAGCTGAAAAGTAAAATGTGCTAGCTTAAGCCACCTTCTTGATAATCAGATTTCATGGTTGTTTGAACTAAAATGCTGTGAATCACAAGATGACAAATTGAAAGAACGCACACATAAAGCAATGATAATTGCTGGAGCCATGGGCAGTAACTTGTCATGCAATGTTTATTGAACTGCTTTGCAAGTGCCCACACCCTTGGTTGGATGAACAGTTTCTGAAATAAGCAGGGAAATCTAGTCAGGAAAAAGTATTTCCAGAAAGAAAATGTAAAGAGGGAGAAAAAGATTTCTTGTTCTGTTTTAAATTTAAGACTGTATTTTAACACTCAAATTGTGATTCAGTTTGCAAGTAGTTATTCTATTCTTTCCTTCTTCTTCTGATGCCTACTGAACTCATCAGAAAATGATTAAGACGATGAATTTGAATGATTAAGGAAAGATGAATCTGGGAAGAGTAATCTACTCATTCTACATTAAAAGWACTTTAAGAGAATTAATTTACAGATTTGCATTTTGTTTTTAAAAGATTTGTATCATTTGAGATAACTACTCATGAAATCAGGTAGGAACACCCATCCTTACGTTTTCTGAACAATTTAAATATCATGAAGATACCACCTATTTTTATTTTCACTGTGTTCAACACTCTTTTCCACATATATTTTAAACCTGACATTGGAGCAAAGAAAGAGCATTATTATGAAAAATCTGTCTCAGATTTCATTCCAAAACTGCTGCAGAAATTAATCTCTCTTGAGAATTTAAAAGAAAATTAATCAAGCAACATGTCTAACTTTTCATTTTACTGAACTAAAGGAAGGTTGACCTAACACTTCCATTCAATAGCCTTCGGCTAAATTATCTATAAAACAACCCACTATGTGCATATCTACCACTCAGAGAGTCCCACTTATTTCACACTAAAACAGAGTTCTTTCTATTCTTGGCCCTCTGTAAAACACAACTGTACCTAGTACAAACAATGTGGACATCAAAGAGACATGACACATGGAGGTGAAAGTCACTGATCTGGTACCTTGTTCCATCCACTGGCATGAGCAGCTGCCTCGTGTGTGCGCTCCCGATATTCCTGATATGTCACCGGCCTGCAGAAGTTAAACCAACACTGAAAGTTATAAAAGGAAACAAAAGAACATGAATAAAATAAAATTCTCAAGTTTTCAGAGAACAAAGTATTTTCATATGTATTACAGCAAATAATGTTCAAGAGCTAGTAAGTCTGGTGTTTCAGGACATAAAACAGCAGCACCAGAGAGGTTCAGGAAGGCATCACCTTCTCCCACTTACACAATTTCACATAACTGGTTAAGAGAATTTCCTAATAATTTTATACCCTGTTACTTAACAGACATTAGATAAGTAGGTTCCCTGATATGCTACAAAGTTTCTAAGCTCTTGCATATCTTTTTTTTAGAATGTATGATTTTATAGACAGAAAATTCCACGGAGAAATTCATACTTGAGCTAGAGACCAATGCAGAATAAAATTTTATAAACAATACAGACTATGGACAAACACAGACTGTTTGACTGCATTACCCTTATTTTAAAGTTGAAGCCTTTATCTGCAAGAAACAGCACTTTTGATCACAAAACCCTTCATGTTTCAGTAGATACCTCTAATCTAGATTTATCATGTCTCTRCTTCTCTGAATTCGGATAATGGAATTGCTCTCTTCCATGACTCTTTCCTCCAAGATCATATGGYATCTAAGAGTCAATAACAGCAGAGGCTTTCTGCCAAGTGACAGCAGAAGATGCACTGTTTCAAAAGCAGCTGTCTCAGCCAGATCATTACAAATGCAAGTTCAGATTTCAGTTTAATGGAAATACCAGTATCTGGCATTGGACAGAGAACTGCTTACTGAACTCCAGGAACCTGTCATGATCTAACAGCCTTCTATACTCTAACTCTTGTTTATAAGCATGGAAGAGGGCAGGAAAATACAAGACAAATAAATAAGTATTGCATCAAATAGCACTACTCTAAAATATATGGATRAAAGAACAGTGCTAAAGTACAGTGGGGTTTGTCATTTTAAAGGCATTCTCTTGACTTCCTTGGTACATTAATCCTTTGAAACCAAATCCAAATCAATCAGTGGCTTGAGAAGAGCAGGAACAGCTGCAGGAAGGATATTATCAAGAGATTAAACAGTAACTCTAGTTTGCCTTAGAAAAAGGCAACACGGTTTCACAGGCATTTCAGACTTTATGTATGTACATACATAAATTAAAAAAATAACTTGAAATGCAAATGTTTTCCTATGGAAAACATAGGAAGGCTAGAATATCAGGGTAGAACAACCTAGAACCACTTAAATGCATGACTGCATTTATGCAACTGTTCCTAAAGCATCACCTTCCAACTCTAGCTCTCCAACAACACATTTTGGAGATCACTCAGAAAAGCCTTAAGTAGTTCATGTGGATTCATTAAATTTCAGGCTGGTAATTCATAATAGAAAACCAAGCAACCACAACAATTGTACCACTTTGCAAAAGACATTAATTAAGATGCCAGTGCATGCCAACTACAATATGCTATTTTAAACAATAAGCTTAAGTTGGYAGGACAACTCTTAAGGCACCAACGATAGCCCAGGGGCCCAGATCTCCTTCAGATGTGTATCTGGAGGGTGATCACAAGGTTTCTAACTACCATCCTTTCAGGGAAACTCTCCCACTCATCGTGAGCCAGACCACAAACAAACCTTCAGCTCCACTCTTAGCTATAAGGCGAAAGAAGTTAATGTGGCTACAGCCCAGCACTCATGAAAGTGGCAATGACAGCTGCCAGTTTCACCAGCAGCTCAGACTGCTTGAAACAGCCTCAGACATTCAGTAACAAAAGCTTAGAAAAATTTTAGAACTTACATTATTGCAAAGGCCAAATAGCACAAAGAAGTATTTGCACATTACATCACAAAACAAAAAAATCCAGCTAGATAAAGGAACATTGAAAACCAAATAAATGCAATAAAAATGCAGTCCCAACTTCAGCATTTCAGCAGCAGTCACAGTGCAAAAGGAAACACCTTCCCTTTGAAAAAGCAAATGGAAAACTCACTTGCTAAGCAAGCTTTGCAGTGCTTTGTGCAGATGTTCCTTCAACTCCTGGGACACTTTCTCCCCCAGATGAGCCAGGCAGTCTTCTATTGAGCTCTCTGGATTGGCAGGGCTGAACACTGGGGAAGTGTGGCAGTCAAACCCTGTAGTGGTAAATGCTGAGACAAGAAGGTATACAGAATTAAACAGATTCACAGAAGAACATCAGTCTCAGATTTCTTATCCCAGCAGTTAACACAGTTTACTTGAGGCAGGAAAAAACACAGCTCTGTAAGTCAAAGCATGCAATGAAGAAATCATAGTAAAACAGTGTCCAAATACACTCTGAAAGTGCTACTTACAAGGCAGAGATGACTTTGAGCTGCATTTCCATCCTCCAGCTCTTGTTTCACAACTGCATCCTAACCAGCAAGTTTGCTGAATGTGCAGCTATTCGCCCATTTTAAGCTGATGCCAACCCTGATGGAGCAGCAGAAGAGCCTCTTTTCATGGTAAATTTGCCCACACATGGACATCTCTGCAGCAGTACTAAAGTAYCATTTTTTAAAATATTATTTTGTTAAATATATAGCCTTTTCCTTTTCAATTTAAAACTTCTAAGAAAGCTCCATATGAATGAACTTAAACAGCTCTACAGCATTTCTATTGCAGATTTCCAATTTGCAACACAGGCAAAGCAAAGATGGTTTTGAAATCATTCCTTGCTGGGAGTGCTATAAAAGCCACATCTACAGATCACAAAAACGTGGTGGAAGTGAGAAATCTGATGGTTTAAGTCCACACTGCTCAGAATACTAGCTGCTGAGGACTCTGCCATCAACTGCAGCAGCTTAAGGGCTGCTTACTTTTCATTATTTATAGTAGSCTATTAAATGTCATCCAGTTGTTTGCTTTGGCTGGGCTCCACCACTCCAAATGGTAACGTTTAACTATTTTACTCCATGCGACAATGTGTACAAGTCTTGTTGGGGGGAGAAGGGTAAAGAGATTCAATGTATTCAAAAATCTCTTTAACTGGAGTACCTGTTACAAATTAACCACCATTACAGTGCATAGAGATTATGGATTGAAACGGGAAAACCTGAAGAGCACCTTCCAAGATTTCTTCATCAAGACGTTTTAGCTCCTCCTCGATTTCTATTTTAATCTTCTCCAAAGCCTCTTTCTCCAAAGCATGTTGTGCCATAAGCTGTTGTTGAGTCCCTGAAAGAAACAGAGAAATCATTCAAATGTTTTCATTCTGTGTTTCAAGCAAGGTAGGTAATGGAACACGATACTGAAGTATTAAATATAAAGAAATTCAAGGTGAAAGTTCTGTTTCAGACAGCAACAAGTATGACCCCTTAGGAGGACTTACTACAAAAGTTTTATTACATAGAACCAGAAACAGATAAACTTCCAGGCTTATTCAAGGTAGACCTGATGCWTTAACTATTTTTTTTTTAATTACAACTGTAAGGCTACAAACAGAATACACAGAAGCTTTAAAAACAATATCTTCATTTGAAGACCAAAATCAAACCAAGGCWCATAAACAAGCAGCCATTAAAACTAATACACTTACTATCAATCTGAAAACAAAGCTGTCTGGCATAAACTGGATTTTTAGTGGCAAAATATAAAATTCATATTGATGCCTGCAAAATCTACAACATTCTCAGAGCAACTATGCAATGGCATCAATGAAGAATCCTGAAGCCTGTGAACTGTGAATCATTTCCCTGGTCATGAGGAGACTACAGRCTACAATGAGAGAATTTAAGACTGGGTTCACAACTAAGACTAAAGACAAAGGACCCAACAATAGTCAGTCAATTGTAAATTCTCATCTCCTAATCAAGACATTAAGGAATTTGAAATGGCTGCATATCCCCAGATGCACACATCCCATGGCTTGGCATCATAAATACAAATTCTACACGCTGACTCTAGATATTGGTTACAAAAAATTGTTTCAATCGTATCAGTCAGGATTAAACAGACTCTCAACCATCTTAATCATTATGCTGTACCACGAGACACAAAACTGATTTCTAACAATCCATGGTATTTAAGACATTTTAAATCCATGGTATTTAAGACATTTTAAATCCATGGTATTTAAGACATTTTAAGGAACTGCCTTCTAAATATCAGCCTTTCCAATATAAGGTGGTATGGCCAAGGTAACTACTCACGTAACTTTTGTGGGATGGTACTAATTCAAGACTCGATGACCTTGAGAGAGTTCCAGCTCAAAATTCTTGCTATTTAGCTGCTTTTTCTTTGYGTTTGCTCATCTCTGTTTCTTCTATCACCATTCAGGCATGTTTTCAAACCCCTTTCTTAAGGCACACTACATGAACTGTTCCAGTCAAGTTGTCTTGCTTTCTCTGAACTTCACTGAACCAACAGCCCATCACTGAAATTTTCTCCTTCCTTTCATTCCATTCCTGAAAATGTCCTACTTAGAGATGAAATGGAATTRCTTCAGAATATTCCTCAGAATTATTTTTTTGACAAAGACATTCTTCATGAGACTTGACGTTCTCTCACACCCACGATTCACAACCTCCTGACTGAGCTTCTGGTTACCCATGTCCAGTGCCTGGTCCTCATTCACCCAAATACTGACAAGCTTTGCATCAACTGATCTCACCCTTTCTGCACCTACACCAAGGGCTACAGCTCTACCTGGACAATGTTCCTCTCTACAAACGTTCTTCATTCGGTTAGGGAAAACAGAAAGGAAAAGGATTTGAATCTGTAATGTCGGAATCATCTGACTCAGTTTCCTTCTCATCACTTCCATTTCACATYCACATGTTCAGGTAAGTCCTGTAACCAGTGTAGCTTTCTGGCATATCTTTCTTTGTTCCTGTTTTGAACACACTAAATCATAATTTAGTGGTCTTGTGAACAACAGTGTTACGGTCTGTCTTCTTTGGTTTGTATCTCTTTATATGTGCTGGAACTCACTTWAAGTGTTGCATTGCCTTCTCTTTTCTTCTACAATGGACACATACAATCACKGAATTTCATATCAGTGTGTGTGAAAACCATAAAAGCAGTTAACATACACAGAACTGTGTAGTTAATAACGTGCTAGTGATGTACACAATGCTTTTTCTGCATTCAAGAAAACACTAGACAATAAGCTTTCAAGGTCTCCTACAATTGGAAAATAAGTTAAAGAATGTAAGTTAAAGTTGGCCATCAGTACCAGCCCACTGTATGTGTTACTGCTTAAAAACTCAGCATAAAAATCCCTCTAAACCAATAGGTGCTTAAGCCAGTGTAAAATGTTTTCATTTTTTTCTGTGCCCAATCTAAAAGAATGAGGGATAGACAGTTTAATTCCATTTTACTTAACCACACATGTTTGGAATTACTTTATTTAGYATCTTAGATCCCTTCCCAAGTAGTCTCTCTGCCACTCTGAGTAATAAATTCCAGAGAGGAGCAAACTGTTCCTCCTTTTGGGTTATGCCTCATCAGCCCCTGTCAGTCGCTTCTTTGAACAAGTGAACCACTGCTTCAGAGTYAAGAGCAACAAGTGTGTGCAAGTGCAAAGCCCTGTCAGAACCTGTGCTTCACCCCGTGTATGGAAGGGATCAGGGTGTTCAGAGGAGCACCCGTTCTCACAGGACTAAYGTGACGATGATCACACATGACAAGCTGTCATACTCGATAAGAAGTCACCCAGAAAATGGAAGGAAGAGAAATTCCATTGCTGCCAGTGTACAAAAGAGCTGTTTAGATAATCAGCACTACAGTCAATGGTTTCCATCTCGTAACACCCACAACTTTGCAGCAGCTGCTGATTCCGAGAGCACCTGACTGTTCAGTCATGCCAAAACATCAAAACCCTACCCCTCCCAGAGCAGTGACTTTGCACTGTTTATTCCCCTAATAACRAGTGGATTTCAGCTTTCTGCATCTCTCGGATATTGACTGCTACCAACAAACACTGCATTGGAGAACAGCATATTCCAACAGCAAAGGTCATAAGTGAGGCACATCTTTTTCTCAATTAGCCRACTTCCAAGCCAGTTTGCAAACAGGCAGAAGAAAACAGTAAAACCAGCTTATTTTAGATGAGAATATATTTTCATTTTTAAGGATGCAAAGGGTCACACCAGAAATGGTGCTTGTAAGAGCCATAAACATTGAATGCTTTCCTRTGCTCAAGAAATGGGTTTGCCTCTYCTGGGCTTTTGGTAAACCAACCCTGCAAGGCCTCTTCCCAACCCAAAGGCACAACAAACCTCTGTTACACAACCAAGTTAGTGCATTCTACTTTCCATTTATGGAATAAATGTTCCCTTGAGCACAACTATGTTCTTGTTACGATTTCGGGTTTCAGGTATTTGGAAGTAACCTGAAAAGTAGAGGAAAATGTGTCCTAAAAGTCCATCAAGCACCATATCAGGGACCATCAGACTACTAAATTAATGTAATACTTCAGTAAAACTCCAGRAGTTCAGTAACAAGACTAACCCGTTTGCCAGGTTTGATCCCAGAAGGAGGAGGGATGGGAAGTCATTCATCAGAGCTAGAGAGTCTGATAYCTGATTCTACAGTGCTTGTGCCAAATACTGCAGCTAATAAGGGACAACAGCAACTACAAGGAGAGACTGAAAATATGTTATGCCTTTTTAGTTCCAGGGAATGCAAGAAGATTGGAAAAGAAAGCCATTGATGTCACAGATTGCTCCTAATTTTTTTTCTTTCATGCTTGTAATTTTCATTTACCAATACCTTCATTTCCGAGTTCTCCTAGGTCTCTATATTAACTGTGGTACAGTTGACTTAAAAATTTACTTTCAGCATGACTGTAATAGTTAACATCTCAGACTTTTAAAGACATTAAGACTCTAAAATTACTGTAAGCACTGAGAAATGACCAAGATATACAAAATGCCTTTACAAATGTATTTATCTGTTTCCTTTAATGAAAAGTAGATCCAKTAGCCCAGCAAACTCCAGAACATGGATTCATGGATTGCCATGCATAGAGATAGCCTTTGATTTCAGAAATGTTTAAAAGAAGCCCTTTATAAATGATAAGAAGGCTCAGTTAAAGAAACTAAAAAAGTCTAAAATATTACCAACCAAAAAGAGACAAGATACTGCCAACTAGCAGTCTTTATTTTTTTGTAGGCAGAGAGGAGGCTTAATCAAGGGGGAATTCACACCCCAAAAAACTCCCTTTCCTTGCCTCAGTTCAGGGAAAAGCTCCCTTATTGCCATGAACTGGACTGGTCTGACCTACAGGGTGAATCTTTTCATCCCAAACAAGTATATTTTTCCTAAGAGGAAAATCTCTAACAAATGAGTTCATCATCTAAGCTGAAACCACCTAAAAATTCCTTTACTTCCTACAGGCCAACAGTGGGTACCATGTGTGTGGGAAACCAACAAAATGGCTCAATCACTAACTCCATACAGCACTTCATATGGTAATTACAAAAAGACAATGAATGGTCTAAAGAACATTGTGCACAATTATTGGATTAAAGTACTGTGGATAGCATGCACCTCGGGAAACTGTAAAACTGTCAAGACCATGTTCACCTCTTGACTAATCCATGTCACCMTGCAGTAGTGGCAACGACTATAAATCTTTATATGTTCTGTAAACTAAGGGATTATTTAAGATTTTTCACTCTGTCAAGGAAAACACAGAAAAACTACTTTTCTTCACAATGTTTGTCATAGCCACGGGCTCATGGGATGGTGTCAAGAAATGGGGAAGTAAATTGAAAAAAAAACCAAAAACATTATAAGTCACTCCTTGATGAAATACTAAGAAACATTTATAATATAAATATATTGAATCACAAAACCAACGAATTTTGACACACTTGAAAAGTAAATAATACTAACAATGTCAGCAGAGTGGTAGCTTCAGTAATGAGAATGACTTCAGGGGGAAAACTATAGAGATGTTTTCCAATACTTGATATTTATTTTCTGTGTCTGAACCAGTACTTATAGGTATGACAAGAGTTGAAAAAATAGAAAGCATCTAATCACAATGTAATGAACAGACWACTAAAAGCTTCCACATGTTTTAAATAAATGTACTCATCTCATCTCAAACCACATCATAATATCGCATAGGTGATCTTATTCTATGTGTTCTATCAATTTATCTGAATTTGTTCACCTACCTGAAAACCTACAAAAAACTAACAGAATGTACTGTTACTGGACTTTGCATTAAATAAATTGCAGYGACTGTTATGCAGAATCATCATTCTAACAAAGCTAATAGGAGATATGTCTCAAACCACTGGCCAGTTCAATTTGCTGGATTTACCTCTGGAGACACTGAAATCCATTACAGAATACTACAGAGCTGTAAYGTTAAGAGATTGATTTGTCCCGGAAAACTGTCTTTTCTTCCAGAATCTAGAGTACTGTGGATGGTTCTCTCTTCAGTCCCTGCACTGAAGGGAAGATAGAAAAATAAAAATTTCCAGGTACTAATCAGGTGTTGACTTGGATCAGCCTTATTTGCTTGAAGCCAGAAGTGATTTCAGTTCTTGTAACTGAAGCCATCTTTCTTGCAACAAAATCAAGACCAACCAAAAGAACCAAAAAGAAACACCGTGAGGTAATTTGCTATGTAATTTCTCTGAATTTTCTATTCACCAGGTTAAAACCCCTCCAAAAAGCATCAGTCTTGCAAAGTACATGATGTCTGCAAAAAATGAGAAGTTTTAACTGGAATCCTATCRACCTATCTTGAAGTTTTATTCTTACCTGAATTTTTGAAACAAGAAGATGTACACCATAAAAAAAAACTAATACAAAATGCAGGAAAACAGAGGCCGATAATGGTAGAAGGAAAAAAAGGAGAATAAACAAAAACATTCAACTCTCCTACCAGTTCAGGCAGAGATAAAATAGTACCACTCCTGTTGGGAAGGATCACTTTTTTTGGCTGTTTTTTTTTAAACTACAGAGTGGATCTAGTGGGTCAACTGCAGTGCTGCTGGAACTTCGCTGAAATCTGGGAGATACAGAAATCCTAACAACACCCAATGTGCCTTTTTTCCTTATCTCCCGTGTTGTGTACACATGCAGTGGAAAGGCAGAAGATCCTCCAGCAGGTGACACAAGGTGGCTGTAACTGGGATGCTGCACTGAACTGCCCTCTAGAGGAGTCCCTCTCTCTCTTTCAGGCAGACAAGGAGGTTGGACAACAGAYACCACCACCAGGGCTAAAACTTGTCTTCCTGAGTACTCCCATTATACTGTAATATGAYTCAGAAAACAAACCAGGAGCACAGTCTCGTTTGGATCTAAGAAAAATATATGAAGGGAAAGTACTACAGACTCAATGCCTCATACAAATCAAGTACAAAATACTGGAGTGTTCTGCAACTGGAAACAGGCAATAGCCAAAATTGCTGCTTCATTGCTTCCYATGGAAGGTCTGTCAGCACAATACCCAAATCAAAGTAAAATGGGATTAAGAACAGGTGTTTTTTATTGGACTCCTCTCAATTCACAAATGAAGGGTATTCAGCCATAGAGTAGAAAGACTTCWGACCAGTATTTTGAAGTGCCACAGAAATCCACAATGGAAGGAACTTGGGATCACTCGAAGTGTTGTATCAACGACTGGTGATGGTGTTTAGAGAACACCCTGACAAGCAGGAAGCAATGTTGTGCCTTGTTACCCCTCCTGTGAYTGTTACCAAAACCCTGAAGTCTCCTCCTCATGATGGGATTCCAGACAGCAACTGTTCATTTCCATTTCCTGGCTTTGCCTCTCATGTTCCAACCAGGTTTCTCAGCCCACGCTTGGGACTGTAACTAACGCAGCTATCTCCCAGCAGTGCATTAGGCAGGGCAGGAAATACCCATTATGGGCTGTGCTCYCCTCCTGGGGGACAACACAGAGCACAGGGAGCACATTACAGCAAGCAGGCATCAGCCACGTGCTAAACAACAGCTACAGACTGTATACAAAATGCTCAACAGCCAAAGGAGATGCATAACACTCCAAAATAACCACACGGCTGTGGCCTCACAGAGCCCAGGAGTGCTGTCATGGTTTAATTACAAGCAAGAAGAGAAAAAGTAGGAGAAAGGATTTTTAAAAAGTAGTTAGCAGAAAAAAGAAATCTCTCAGAGGTATGGAAAGCAGAAAAGCACCAGGAAAAGTGTGCTGGGAAAGAATGAAACAAATCCTGAAGCAGAAGGATAAAGTGTTTGCTAAGTTCAGTACAGCATGAAGTCCATTCAAAGCATTACCCAACAGAGTGARAAACAAGCTGGCAAATTAAAAGTAAGGCAAAATTATTTAATCCAGAGGCTTTGATCAGAAAGCAACAAAAACACTGAAAGAGAAACCTAATTACAGTGAAACATGACCACGAGAGGAGAACGATGTGGTCACTGTCTGGTTTGGGGGGTTAGGTGTGGAAAAGTTAGCATGATTTCCTGTTTATAAGGGRAGGTCTAGAGCAACAAGGATGAAAGAACAGACTTGTAAAGTATGAATGCTTTGGAGTATTTTAATCGCAAATCCAACTACAGCCTGCTGTCACAAAAGCTAACACATCTAAACAATATCTGAGAAGCCCTCTTAAGTGACTCCAAAATTTTTATTTAAGCATTTGTAGCTTCCTCTTTAGAAAGTTTAAATATACCTCTGTAATTCAGATTAGAAGCTTACAGGTTTTAGTAAGGAGAATCAGTTGAAAGGTTTCACCTCAATTTGCAAATACTTCAAAGGTAACTATAGCCAATTTTTAAAAAGCTTTAAGACTAACATTTTTCTTTCTGAATCTTGTATTTATAGAACAAAAGCACTCTTACACACTGAACCTTTATATGTACTCCATACATTTCCAGTTACAGCCCAGTTACAAATGGTTGGGATGTTCAGAATGAAATGTTATTGCTAAAATATGCACCTTTTTCCATAAAGGGTCCTATGAAATGAAGGGGTTTATGAAACAGTATCTTGGCACTAAGGTTCCTCTCCTTTCATGGACCACAGATGCAATCAAAGTGGAAGYAGTGATATACCTTAAACATACTAAGAGTAATATTATGAATTAAATATAYTAACATTAATTTAATGAATTACATATAATATAACCTTGTAAGAGATGGTACAGAAGTCCCTCATCTGTCTCATGATCTTCGAGATGGACAGAGACTGAACACCCAAAAACCCCAAGGGGGGAAGGGGGGCTTTTGCTCAGAGAAGTCTGCCAAGTGCCAGTGCCCAGGCTGCTGAACAAGGGGTAAGACCCAGTGGACCTCGTTGTCTTTTCTGCCAAGGCAGAGAAGGAACTGCATGCTTTGTACTGTACACCTTACAAAATAATGGGCATTTTTTCCCACCTCTTGCCCAGCTTTCCCCTGCTTCTGCACCTCTTGGCCAGTTGCCCCTTGCTTTTGAAAAGACTATAAAGAGACTTTCTATGAGTCTTTTCTATGAAAAGACCCCTGTGAGTACTCCCCACAGATGAAGACGGATCTATTGGCTCTGGACCACAAGGATTTCGTCTGTGCCATTGGTAGCTATAACTCAACACTCTCTCTCTCTCTCTCCCTTTCTCCCTCTCTCCCTCTTCTATTGCATAAATCGTGTTGTTGGCACTCAATAAACGTGTTTTTGATTTTGAAAAATACTTGTCCCTGTTTCTTTTGCACTCTGAGATTCAGTTAATGAACCATCACGACCTCCGCTTGTATTAGTGGATCGTAACAAACCTGCATATACTATATTCTTTAGCGTGAAACTGAAATCAGTTATGTCATAAATAAATTTGATGCAATCTTTTCTTTTCAGGATTTTCTCACTTCATGATAGGTAAGTTCAGTAAATGGCATATGCATTCTTAATCATTGTTCAAAGAGAAAAAAAAGATTCTGAAGACTGTCTCTGTTTGGTTCGGGTTTTTTTTTATTCTCCTTTCATCATAATAAGTTCTGAATCACAGAACCAGTAATGACTGAAAKGTCATTAAGAAGTGACAACTCACCCAGGCAATCCTGACAAACAACATGTGCTTAAGTGCTTGCCACTACAAAATAAAGTTTTACCCCCTAGGTTTATGTGAAACACAATCTACCAAATTTCTTTTATTCTGCCTTCTATTTATTTATTTAACCTCTTTTATCCATAAACTTGCTCTAGAAGGAACATCTGACTCCATGCAATCCTTCACTTCTCACAAATAAAAAAATAAACAGAAGCAGCATAGGCCACATCTCTGCACCAGCACTGAGTGACAACAGAAGCCTCAATGTAATAGGGCAGAACTATTTAGCACAGGAGATTGCTCAAGCCACCACTCAGTGTATGCCAGTAAACACCACCTCATCCCTGCTTACTTCCACCTGTGTCCCAAAAAACCAGCAAGAATGGGCTGAAATTCTCATGATGGCTCAGCGAAGTTAATATTTATCCATCCCCCCCTAGCCTCAAGACAGCTCCTAAAACTTGTTTCATAAACACCCTGGCATAGCCAGCCCTGGCATRGCTCAAATTAAAACAGTAATCTACATACAAACAGCTTTGTTTCCATCAGCATTTCTCATCTTTCAATTGAAATTTATTCAATTTTCACTGAACAAAACAAGAGATGCATTACACTGAACATCAGGCTCACACTSTGCATCCCTGCAGAAACACCCAATATAATTGCAAATACAGCTGCATATGTAAATGGCTACAGATGAATATGCAAATATTACCTTGAGTTGGAGGAGGAGGAGGAGGATGCTCCTGTGGTTTCTCCTGTGCTAAAAGGCCCAGGTAGCTGAGCACTACGTATTTGGTTTCATAGTGAAATCCTACAGGCACGGCAGTAGCGGACGCCATCGGGTTGGCTGTGTTCACGTGGGGCACGTCGGCTGTGCGCTGGGGAACCCAGGAAGGCTGTCAGGAAAGAGTAAAGTGTTTTGTTTGTTTATAAGGCTGCAACAGGTCACGAACTCCTACGTAACGAGGAATTATGTAACAATCCTGAAGCAATATCCAGGTTTTTGCCCTGATATCCTATGCATTCTTACAAGAACCATGCAGAGTAAACCCAAGTGTGCCCCAGTCCAGCTCCCTGCCTGCTGCCAGCAGTGGCATTTCTCACTCCTGCCTGGCACACACACACTCCCATGGAAGCAAAACGAGCAGTTCCTCACCACGTGTCCTCCTCCCAACACCTCCCAACTCAACCACACACAAAAATACACGTGTGCATGCRAAGAGGTTTTGATGGATTCTGAAGATTTCATTAACTACAATATGAACTAAAAAGACAGATTCCAAGGAGTCTGTCTTCCCATAAGCCTCCCACGAATATTTTCCCAGTTCTCCGCTTTCTCAGATTTGTTATTATGATGCTCAAAAACTGTAATGCAGAAGAAGTGRCCGCAATTGCCTCGAATCAATTTTACTGTTCCAACAGCAATGGAAAACATATGGTCAACAGAGTAGGGATTGAAAGAACAGATGGTTGTTTGTCCGGATTTCTCACCCAGACGTTATTAAGTATAAACCAGAGATACACACCTAACAGCAACATCTGGCCAAAGAACTCCTCCCTGTTTTATTCTAATTGTTTTGTTGCTTTTTAAAAATATCCAAATAAGACCAGCAGGAAAACCTAAGGTAGAGAGACATTAAAAACAACAGAGTAAAAAGTAAAATCTCAAACAACAATGTGGAAGTGGGGAAAAAGCCATGCAAAAGATTGAAAGGATGCTTGTGATTAATCAACATGTTTTAGCTCTTTTCATTTGGTAAAGTCTGGACAACTATTTCCAACATGCTATTAACTTAATGAATCAAATAATACTATTCAGGGGTTTCTGATAAACTCTTCAAGTTAAGTTCTCCAGGAGTAAAGAGTCATTCCCAAACAAGCATTGGCCCATTCTTGGCCACCAGAATGGATGTCTAAATGAAAGGCACACAAGAAWGTTTGTGCTACAGAACAGCTACTGAACAGGCACTGAAAGAGTCAGACAATTTAATGTGAGACAGCAGTCATATTAAGAAGAAAAATTTATATCAAGTTTAAAGAAGTTTGAATGAGCAAAATGCTACRGACAGGGAACAGAAGTTGGACCATCTGAAAAGAGTTATGGGTTACACTGGAAAAGCCTCTAGACTTAAACAAAGAATCAGGTTCCAAAACCAAAGCACAATCTGCAAATGAATCCTCAAGATTAAARATAATAATAATAAACCAAGAAAGCAAAAGCAAAGCACTCGCCTGTCTAGCTATTCAAGATGTCTGGGCAAACTTCTAACCCCTCCTCCCAGAGAAGGAATTCAGATTAATAGCAGTTGTATATTGGTTACTGAGGATAAACAGAACTACAACTGTGCTGTGGCATAGTTGCTTGGGAGTAGGTAGCTTGGCAAAGAAAAATTTGCCATTAAGCTAAAAGCTGCAAAAGGAAAAGGACTGGTGTAAAACTGGCTAACTATTCTTTCTGTAATCTTTAGAGGCTCTAGTTTCTGAAACTCATTCAGTATTCAAAAGAGAAAAGGACTCTTTCATGCAGACCATACTATGCAAGCCCTGCCTCTTGCACCATGTATTTGAAAAATGCCTGAAAGCCTTCACCAGAAAGGTTTGGTTGAGTCTTTGCTACAGCTTGGACTAAAGTAGTGATTTATATACAAAGGAAACAAGAAACCTGGAGTCATCACTTCATCTATGCTGCCGCTTCCTTCCCAAAGTGTTCTATAGGCAACATATACTGCTTCAGAAATGTAAGAAATCACAGCAGAGAATAACCACAGCTTTTGCACAACACAGTTACCCTTGAGCTTCCTCAATGATCTGAGATTTTCATAGAGCAAGAAGATTGGGAAAAAATAATCATTCTGAAGACTTGAGTAACCTTTARCAATAGATCTGCTCTTCAGACCAGATCCCCACATGCAATCACCACATCACATGTTCGCATCACCACGTGTAAAGGTGTCATTCACCAAAATGCAAAAGCTCCCCAGCACGTTTCAGTTCTGGTTTGTTCAGCAGAGATCCACAGCCCTGAAATCAAAATGCTTCTCGCAATGCCTACACAGTGAATGGGAGCCCTTCCAGACAACCTGAACTGATCTCTCCTGAAAAAATTAGCCTGACAGATGGTCCACAGACATCCAGAAACTGTCCTGTGGACCAAAGAACAAGTCTGGATATATAACAGAGATTACTCTTCAAAATACAATTCCAAATCAGTGCAGAAAATGAGAGAAAAAGAGTTGCTCAAAACAAGCATGAGAGCCAAAGCAGCACAGAGCAAGAGAGGCCTAATTGACAAAAATTTCAGTGTGCTGAGCTGAGCACTTGTGAGGGGAGCAGGGGGGAAAAAAAGCCAGAGAGAGATAATCAGACCACTGCTTATTTAAATAGTGAGTAATGTTTCCATGGGAAAAGAATCAAAAAAAAAAAAATTACCTTGGTAGATATATTTTGAGAGGCAGTTTTATACTGAAACGAGCAGGGAAACTTAAGAATTTGAATGGAAGTAATCTTCAGATTCACATAAAAGAATATAATGAGTGGAAGGGCACTTCAGARTCACTGGTCTTCTTTTGAGAGAAGCCCACAGCACAGTAACTGAATGACTCGTTTTGGATTGTGAATGACTAGTTTTGTTTACAAAAAGAAATATAGCAATATTGACTCAGATACTGTAAATACCTCAGAAAAGGCCATTTTTCAGGGATGAGTGGGATTGAAAAAGGACACACAGCTTGAGAGACCAGATCAGAGGAAAGAGAGCTCTCCACTAAAGGAGCAAAACAGAAGAGAGTCCAGAGAGTGTTTAAGAGAACAAGCTTGTATGGGAGATGCAATGAAGCAGAGGAAATGAGGCGTTACACAGACTCCATAAGTCTCAAAGCCAGGGCAAGAGGGTTGCTTCTGATTTAACAGGTTCCTTGCAGGAATAGTATCCTTTAAAAGCTACAGAGATCAAAATTATTACCAATTACTCCCTACAAAAAAAAWTCACCTTTCCTAGTTCCTGCACCCTTGGGGGATAGAAGGCTATACCTGTTGAAGCTWRCTTAGCTTGTCACTCCTCCGGCCCTGCTGTCACTTGTTTCATGTGGGCTGAGCTGCTCAAGCGACCTGAGAGCAGGAGTTGCAGTCAGACTGACATTTCCTCATGCAATCTGTCACGTCCTAATCCAGAGTYATACACTGGATAATGGGCAGCACAGGCCTACCAATGTATGCAGCGAATATAATCCCCAGCGATGAGGCCAGGCTGTGTTTTAGTCCCTATCTGTAAAACCCTACTGTACATCAGGATATGTTGTCWGTGCACCATTCAAACCCCAAAATGCAACATCACTGCACATTTCAGCTGGTTTTTAGAAACAAAACAGTAGGCGATCAATGTCACCTATGGATTTCAGACACATCAGCACTGCCACAGACCGCCTGCTTTTTCCAAACAGCAGCACCACYGCTCTCAGCTTCCACTCCAAAACAATCACTCCAGAGCTAAATGCCTTTCCAACCTAGAGCCCGGGTCACCAGGCCTCACTTACCAGCTAAAAACTCAATCACCCCGAGAGCCGCTCTGGCAGAACACCTCCCGCTGCTGCTGAATTATTGCAAGGCACGCACAGCCTCAGCCAGCGAGCGCTCAGCCGAGCACAGGCAGGCACRGGAGAGAGGCAATGCAACAGCAGCAGCGCGGCTCAAATCATTTTTAGGGCAGCCTGACATCGATACGCTCACGGTTTGGGTCGTCCTCCTGATATCAATCTCTGCAACAGGCAGCCATTCTCAGTTCARCTGCACCTACAGCCTTGGGTTTACACGGTGCTCTTTACCGAATGTACCGAATTTCAAGGAGTTGCAGATCTACAAAACCACACCCCGTATCAACAGGATGGAAAATATTCAGGCACTCTGCAACCTTACCAGAAGGCTTGTGTGGAGATTTGAGATGAGACGTGCATGTGTGGACTAGTTTAACCTTGCAGCAGTTTGTCTTTGAAAACACTTCCCACAACAGGCAGGACTATCCAAAGCACCCAATTGTGATCAACTTGGGAGATAAATTCTCCAGAGTACTTTTCCAACTGTGTATGACTAAGAGATTGTTTATAATAAACTGAGAACTGCTCAGTTCAAACATGTCAGTTCCTACTGGAAATGAATCAATATTGCAGCCACTACTGATCCTCTGGCAGCACTTAATGGATAGAAATACTGGAAAACATAATCRTTCTTTATCTGGACAGTGACTGTAGCTGGCCTTTGAGAGAAATGCAATTAAGTGAGCATTCTAGGCAGACGGTGTGATTTCTCTTCTAGGAAGAAAAACAAAAGCTGCATGAGTTATCCACTATTAAGGTCCTCAATTCTTTCCAGCTTCAAACCATCTCACCACACGTAATTATGACAAACACAGCTTTTACTAACAATCTTGCATTCACTTTCTGTCTTAACATGCCTATTATTTGGGTTTGAGAACCCGAAAAAGCCGCTCCAAGTTTCAGCGGCGCCGGAGCCARCCGCGGAAGCACAGCGTAAGCCCCTCAGTTACTACGGCGATGAATGAGATATTTATACCCGGGCGGGCGGGCACGGCGTCGGGATGAGTCACCGGCGGGGCCGTGCGGGACTGGCAGCCTGCGCGATACCGCGAGCCCTGCAGCGGGGGAGCCGCCGGCKCTCCCCGCCACCGCCCTCCGGGAGCTGCCGTCGGGGGCCCGGCACGGCCCCTTCGCCCCCACCGCAACTCGCCGGGTCCGGGCGTGTCCCGGGGGTGCCGCGGGGCTCCGGGAGCGCCCCGGGCGGAGCGGGATCCGCGCGTCCTTCGACAGCGCCGGGGGCGAGAGCGGCACCGACCGCCAGGGGACGCGCCTGCCCCCGCCGCGCCCCCGCCAGAACGCGCGCGCCCGGCTCCCCCCACCCCGCCTCTCGCGGACCGGGGGCGCGCGCGGGAGGGGGGCGGGAGCGCGCGGTGCCGCCGGTACCCGCTTCCCCACCATTAAATTAATAAGTAAGGGCAGGTAGCTAATTAAAGAAATAAATAAATATCCCGCCCGCCCGTTCCCACGCCCGTTCCTCACCTGCGGGCGCCGCGGGGAGGAACTGGAGGTGGAAGAGGCGGAGGAGCGGCCGCGGCTCCCGGGTCGCTCCCGCCGGGGGCGGTGTTGGGGGGGGCGGGAGGGCGCGCGCGCGCGCTCGCGCGCTCGGCCGGTGCGCGGGCTCTGCCCTAATTTGCCGCCGCCGCCGCCGCCATGATGGAGGGGGCGGGGGGAGGAGCGCGCGGGGCGCGGCGCGGTGCGGCGCGTGCCGCGCGTCACGGCTTGCGCCGGGGGGCGGGGCCGGGGCGGGCTCCGCCCACGTCACGTGACGGTSCGGGGAGGGGACGGGAGGGGCTTGTGATGGTCTGAGGGACGCGGTCACTCGGAAAAATGCGGATGGGAGGGTCTCTGGCAGCCTCTCCGCGTTTTCCTTATGGATTCGGAGGAGTAAGACCCGTTGGCAGTTCAGTTTCCGCGGCCCTGATCTGCAGGTCRCCTGGCTACAGGTGTGGGTGAAGTAGGTCAGAGTCCCAAACAGAATTCCCCTCAAGGCAGGAGGGCACAGGGAAGAGTCTGGATATAGTTCCAACTATATTCGCTATTTTATTTATTAATATTTATTTTAGAATAATATAAATATTATAATTCACCGGTATATATGACCTCTTTTTATAKCTATTAAAAACGTGGGTTTAATATTGCTTAGATTTTGTCTGAAATAATAGTAAAGCATTCTCAAGACTCAGAAGTTGATTTCCTTCATCGTAACTATAATATGAAAAGACATCAAAGCTATATACATAGCTTTATAATAAGCTTTTTCACACTGAAAAAAAAACCCAGAAAAAAAGGTAAATAGAAATAAACCAGGAAGAAGCTTGAATGTGACAAGTATTTGACACTGATTTGTAAAGGAATGGTTCTGTTTTTTCCACCACATACTCCTGCAGGATGGAAATGGAAGCTTCTTGCCAATTAGAACAAATATTTTTATAGATTATGAAGTTTGCTTCAATTTGGCTGTAAGGAAAAGAACGGCAGCAGTAACAGAACACCTAAAAGGCYGTCCTTCCCCTCCCCTTGTCGAGCTGTTCCCTGCATCCTTCTGCTTCTCCTGCAATGAGGAGCCCAGGGCATTGCMAACACAAAGCTACTTTAGGGCCTTACAAGCAACTTTGTCCCCGTGTTTCATTTCTCTCTGCTGCAGGTTCAGCTCATTGCAGTGTTCCTGTGAAGTGGCTCAGTTTTCTGTGTCACAGAAAACTGACAATACTTTGGTGGTATTGTCACCAAAGCCCGCCGGTTACTGTATCCAGTTCTGGCTCTTCAGTACAATAAAGACAGGGAGCTACTGGAAAGGGTCCAGTGGAGACCACGAAGATGATAAGGGGTCTGCAGCATCTCTCTTATGAGGGGAGACTGCAGGAGCTGGGCTTGCTTAGTCCAGGGAAGAGAAAACTGAGGGGAATTTCATCAACACATGTAAATATCTCAAAGGTGCCAAGCGAAAGGTGCCAGTTTCTCTTTGGTAATGCCAAGCGAGAGGACGAGGAGCAGCGGACACAAACTAAACCACCTAATGGAGTTTCACCTCAACACGCAGAACTTGACACTGAGGGTGTCAGGGCAGTGAACAGCTCTCCAAGGAGGCCCTGGATGGAGTCTCTGTGGGGGCGTTCCAAACGCATCCGGCGGCGCTTCTGTGTCAGCGGCTCCAGGTGACCCTGCCTGGGCAGGGATGGGACGGGAYGGTCCCCAGAGGTCCCTTCCAAGCCGGGTTTGTCCGTGGCTCCGCGCTCCTCTCGATCGCTCCCGGCCACGGGCCCGACACGCACGGCGCCGCCCCTCCAGCTGGCTGCGTGACGTCACTCGTACCGCTCCTTCCTATTGGCCCGCGATGGGCGGGGCGTGAGGCGGCCCCGCCCCCGCCGTGACCCGAACCGGATCTGATTCCGCTCGCGGCCACAGAGCGCTGCGGCTGTGTCTCCTCGGGCCTGCGGCTCCCACCGCCACCGCCACTGTCACCGCCACCGCCACCGCCATGGCGCTCAGCGATGCCGACGTGCAGAAGCAGGTAAGGCCGCGGGCCCCGGCCGGAGCGCAGCCCCTGAAGGGCCGTGAGGAGCRGCGGTGACCGCGCTGGGTCCCGCAGTGCCGGGCCTGGCCTGGGCTGCGGGTGTGCTGCTCTGTGAGGGGAGCTGGGCGCTCCCTTGGGAAAGGGAGATCGGTGGAGGGGGAGGATCCTGGCTGGGGAAAAGGAGTCTCCGAACAAAGTGGGTTTTCCCCTGTCCGGGTGGATGGGCCCCWCCGGGGAACTTCCTTGAGGCATTTTGGTGACATGTTACCGCAGATTATAACGAGAGGGTTCGTGAGCAGGCTGTGTGCTATGTGCAGTGTTTAATTGCACCTCGAGGCAGGTAAATACACAGCCTTAGACAAGTACTGTTTTTACAGGTTGCTGTGGTAGATGTTTAGAGGTAAGGGCCAGTCTCTTCTTCTGTTCCTGCAGTGKGAGAACCAGRGSAAGTGACCTTAAGCTGAGATAGGGGAGATTCACACCAGATATTAGAAAAAAAAATGTTACTGTTCAGATTGTCAGGCATTGAAATAGGTTGCCTGGGAAGGTGGTGGAGGTGTTTAGGASGTTCTGGATCTGAATCTGATGTGATTTGGTGGTTTAAAAGTTACAGTGGTAGTGCTCTGTTGATGGTTGGACTGGATGATCTTGAAAGTCTCTTCCAACCTTAATGATTTCCTGAGGACTTCACATCTCTGTTTTGCTTGTAGTTGTGCTACCTGCAGTTAGCTGTACCTTAGTATTCGGGTGGGCTGCTTGGTGTTCCTGAATGCCCTTTTCAGATCTACTTCCTAAGCAGAGTGGTGCAGTCTGGGGTTGGCTTGCAATGGAAACTTCCAGCCCTGAAGTCTGTCTGTGGACACCTCCTCCTGAGGCAGGACACCCTGTCCCTGTTGACAGTAAACACTGCCCTCACCTAAAAAAGCTGCTTTCAGCTGGGTTAAAGATGGTCTGTGGTGTTAAAGGCCGCAGGGATCCAGTCAGCACTGGTCTGGGCAGTTTCCTGTGGACAATGAGCAGATCAGGCAAGTTCCCTTTGTCCTCTGCATYACAAGTACTTGTGTCTCACTTTCTCATTAAAGAGAGAGACATTCAAGAGTCTCTTGGCAAGAAAGCATCATAGTGAAAGTAAAATCGGTAGATTGCCTTTCTCCAGAACGAGAATTGCAACATTACATTGTATTCCTTTTATTTGCAAAGCTCAGGGGTTTTTTTCCTGCCTCTTCCATGAAGATAATAAAAATAAATCTGTCATKATGGTGGTCTTTCTCAGCCAGAATGGACCCGAACTTCAAAGCTTAGTTTCAGGTTCTAGTGATATATTAAACATGTAATATTAATAGCATTTCACATCTGCAACTTTGCTGTCATTGCTTTACACTCCTGAGCCCAGGATGATCCTGTTAATTGGAGAGTGCTGATGGCTGACAGTCCTGCATGTGTATGAATCTGGCATGAACTTGCCAGCTGCTCCTCTTAACTGCTTGCAGCCACACTTTCAATAATTTTCACTTTCAGAATAATCTCTGATTGAGGCTTTTTCCCGTTGATGGACTTGCTTGTGTTATTCTATCAAAGGTGTTTAATATATTGTTTCATCTAGTCACTTCTAAAGTCAGTTTAAAACTTCCTTTGGAAAGGATAATCGGTGCTACTACTGCTACTGATGGGAAAACCCTATTTTCCTTTCTATAGGAAATCCTATTTTAAAATTAATCTCTTGTTTTAAAATACATTTTTGTCAGTGTTACTAAAACTAATCTTATTTTTAGATGTGAAAATCTCACTTTGGATCTATAAAATAAACCCCTATAAAAAGGGGTTTCGGCAGCTTTTGAAGAAAGTAACACTGTTCAATTYTACCAGTCTAGGAGAAGTGCATTCCATATTAGCTTGCTTCCATCTCATTCTTTTTCTTTATGCAGAGCATATTTCCTCAACACTTAGAACTKTTAGAAGTACTTGTGCAAAATTCAAAAACCAGATTGGAGGAAGTGACTCAGTAATGTAAAGGCCACTGCTGCTTAGTTCTCAGTCTTCTTGAACAACAGGCTATTCATTAAAATAATTTCCTTATTTTRTGGGCCTCTCTAGTCCTTTCTGAAAAGCAGGGTAGAAAGCTGATGCTATAGGTAGACAACACTTGAGAGTTTCAGCAGATGGGCATTAAAGGAAAACCTGCTGATTTGATTTTGAGGATGTAGATATTACTSATCACTTATTCCACTGCATGTGTTTAAAATCTTCCACTTGTCTCTTCAAGTATTTTTTTTTCTGTTCTCTTTTTTCATCTCTGTGGGCATAGTGCTGTTCTGCACATTGGTTCGGTTTTCACCTTGGCACCTTTCTAATCTCTTTAAAACATTGAATTTTAACATGAGATTCTCTAAATAGGGTTTTTTGTGCGAGTTTATTAAGACTGGATTGTCTGTAAAATGTGTCTTATCACTAAGTGCAAGCAAAAAGTCAGTAGGTTTTTATGGTCTGCCCCATCTGGCTTTGGAAGCCCATCCCAGTTGCAGTTTGGTTGGGAATGATTCCTTCCAGTCTGCCCCAAATGGGAGCCTGAACTGAGCTATGGTCACAGAAGGACATGTGATGGATAAGCAGAACTTGGTCTAATTGCTTTCCTAGACTTTAAGCTGCTGGATCTGCACTTTGAAGTGCTTTGAGGTGGCTTCAGAAATGTTTTTCAAGTAGCACATACTGGTTCATGTGGGGCTCTGAAACAGCATGTGACATTCTTGAGGTGGTCTGGGTCACAGTGCTGCCCCTGTCTTCTTCCCCAGCTCCTCCAGACTGACCTTATAAGTCTTAAYGGAATTTATTACAGTTTTTCAAGAAAAGTTTCTCTGGTGTTCAAAGAGACTTCTGGCTGTAAAAAACTGACCAGAGTGGTCGGTAACCCTTTGCTTGCTTCACAATTCATCAAGTATGGAAGGCCCAGGTTCATACAGATGCTATCTATGTTWATCTTTATGTTTTATGTAAATATCATAACAGACTAATTTTGCTGTGTGAGGATTTTTGAAGTTCTGAGGTTTTTTTCTAATAATCCCAGGGGTAAAAAAATTGATCTCATTAATGATGAATGAAAATACCATGTCTCACATTTATACAAATTTACTTTTGGTTTGGTTGGTTTGTCTTAGGT